TTCTAGCTGGGACACTTGCCGAGCCTGCCAGGACCGAAGGAAAACTGCGTCAGAGGTGAGCAGCAGGGGTGGGTGGGGCTGCACCTGCTCGGCCCTCCACTGCCCCCTGCTCAGTGCCAAGTTTCGCTGTGTGCCAGCTGCAGGGACGGCAGCTGCTCCCCCCACTTCACACCATCTCCCAGTGCTGAGCACAGTGTGTGGCATACAGCAGAGGTCAAATTCATTTTTTTTTCTTTTTGCGTCACATCCTGCAATCGCACGGCAGAGTCTGGCATACTCCCCGTGGCGTATTCGATATGCCAAAACCCAGTAACAATGATGGGTCTCATTCCCCTGACCCTGAAAGAGCCTCGAATGTGGCACTAGTGCTGGGAAATGGACACCGGTGGAGGGATGGGTGTTGGGGCACTGTATGACTGAAATCTAATCATGAACGAAAGGATTTGGAGAATTCACTGCTGGTCAGAATTATGAACAGCTTTGTAAGGGTCTACCTCACAGTGATTCAATAAAAAAAAAAAACAATAAAAATGAAAGAAATATATCTCATAATTCCTGTATCACCATAAGGCTTTTTTTTTCCCCCTTTTTGGGTCACATCCAGCAATGCTCAGTGGTTACTACTGGCTCTGCACTCAGGAATTACTCCTGGCAGTGCTTGGGGGACCAAATGGGATGCCTGGGATCAAACCCAGGTTGGCCGCATGCAAGGCAAACACCCTACCTGCTGTACTATCGCTTCTTAAGGCTTATATTTAAGGTATACTACATAGCACACAGACTATTAGTTTTCTTCTGCCTTTCTGGAGTTTTCCCCTCACTCTCTCCTTCATCAAACTGGTCCAGGCTCTGGCCCAAGCACCACTCAGTGATCCCTGAACAGCAACCACCAGACAAGAACAAAATTCCACGTTACCTTTAGGGCCTTTTTACCTTTAAAAGCTTAAGAAAGGATGGAGCTGGAGAGATAGGACAGTGGGAGGAGCACTCGCTCTGCTTGCAGTCAACCCCAGGCTCAATCCATGGCATCCCCTATGGCCCTCCAAGCCCTGCAAGGAACCATCCCTGAGCGTGGAGCCCCGAGCACCACTGTGTGGGACTCCAAACAAATCAAATCAAATCGAAACAAAACAAAACAAAACAAGAAGCTGAACCAAGAAAGAGCTTAGAGCAAAGCTGGAGCCTGAATGCACACAGCAGCATTAGTTATACTAACCAAAAGGCAGATACAACCCAAGTGTCCATCAACTGATGAGTGTGTGAACAGACGAGCAGTGTGGCCTTACCAACTAGTCGCTGGCATCAGTCTGGGCATGGAGAAAGGGACCCGTGAGTTACGCAGTCACCCAGGTGACAGTGATTACGACACACTGTGCAAGTCAACTCACCTGGAGGTCGTGGGGTTTCCATCTTGTGGAATTATCCCTCTAATTAGAAACTAACCCAACAACAAAAGGACAGTCACAGGGCGGGTGCTGGGTCAGATGAAAGATCAAAGAGGGGGGTGGCGCAAGCTGATTTACGTCTAGACTGTATTTATATATATGTACCAGGAATTTATCCCAGGCAAAGCAGGAAGTGGAAACAATTTACTTACACTTCTCTTATGACCCCATTGGGTGGTTTCTCCATTTGTCTATCATAGAAGAACAACATCTAAACTCTTGCTTTTTTTTTGTTTTTTTTTTTTTGGGGGGGGGCGGAGGGCTACACCTGGTGATGCTAGGGGTTACTCCTGCCTCTGCACTGAAGAATTGCTCATATCAGGAAACCATATGGGATGCCGGGGATGGGATGCCGAGGATTGAACCTGGCTACGTGCTCTGGCCCCAGCTCCTGCTTTTTCTACCTCTCCTCTGAGAGCCGGCGGTCATGGGCTACTGATTGGCCTGTTTTTTTTTTTGTTGTTGTTGTTGTTTTGCTTGTTTTGCTGTTTTTTTTTTGTTGTTGTTGTTGTTGCTTTTTGGGTCTCACCTGGCGATGCACAGGGGTTACTCCTGGCTCTGCACTCAGGAACTATTCCTGGTGGTGCTCAGGGGACCATATAGGGTGCTGGGAATCGAACCCGGGTTGGCCGTGTGCAAGGCAAATGCCCTACCCGCTGTGCTATAACTCCAGCCCCCTGACTGCCTGTTTTACAGGGGCAGAAGAGGCTGTGTGTCAGTGAGCAAGTTCAGTCCATGCAAAAGCCCTTAGGTGGAAGTCATTTGTGACAGACGGGCAGGGGCAAGAATGAGTCCAGTTCTTCCAATCTGGGTATTTATTTGGTATCTGGAATTAGCAGAACTCAGAACTTCCCGAGGCAAGGTGACCCTCAGTGGCTGAAGTTGGCCTGGGGAGAGGGGAGGCTGGAGTGAATAGGATTTCAGGCTGTCATGGAAACTTTTCTTTTCTCAGGCCTCTGAGCATATGGCAGGTGTCCTGAAAAAATCCCTTCCTGTTGCCTGAGGCAGGCTGCAGCCCTCTGATGGGGGCGGGGGTGGGGGGCATCTGCCTCCATCTGAAAGGCCCTCTCCCTCCACAGCACAAAGGCGCCTCCAGTGTGCCTTGAGTCCCAGCTCCCCAGACAGACGCTGGGGGACAGCCGCATGGCCCCGTGGAAATCTAAGCCCCCTGGGCCCAGCGGGCCGTGATGCAGCCCATAGATCACAGACAGCAGCAGGCCAAAGGCCGCGCCGCAGCCTGAAATGTGATATTCTTTCTGCCCCTCTGCCGGGGATGTCTGGAGAGCTCCCGTCCCTGCCCAGGGTGAGGACTGGGTAGGAACAAGCTGGTCGGATTCCCTGCAAGATTAGCCCTCTGGACAGACAGGCAGCTCGGTTGGGCCACCGTAGGGACAATCACGAGGCAGTCAAGGGGAGCAGACACTTGAGCGAGAAGACGCCAAGTGGAAACCCCCTAAAGCCATGGTTTACAACTGCGTAATCATTCGGGAGAAACGTACCGAACCTCTGAACCTCTTCACAGTATCGGTGAGGCTCAGGGTGGTGGCTGGGAGTCGGGGGTTTCATACATTATAAAATGGGATAGCAGAGAAATTCAAAGCTGATCGAATTTTAAAGATAAAACGCTGTCGGACTGGAGCTATAGTACAGCAGGTCAGGCGTTTACCTTGTACACAGCCAACCTGGGTTCGATCCCCAGCATCCTATATGGTCCCCTTAGCACCGCCAGTAGTAATTCCTGAGTTCAAAGCCAGGAGTAACCCCTGTGCACCGCTGGGAGTGACCCTCCCCCCGATTAAAAAAAAAGATAAAACGCTATCATGGAAACCTCTTGATGGCAGCTGGCCACCTTGGGGCATGTCCTCCAATGAGAGGAACTGTTCCATAACACCAAGTCCAGCTCTGAAGAAACCCTGATGACACCCTCGGCTTTGGAGTCGTGAGCATCCCAGCTTTGGGTGTATAAATTCTCCACTCTGTGGGACTCTCTTTCTCTCCTTTCATATTTCCTAAATAAAACTATTTTAATTAATAACAATAACAACAAAAGCTGGAAATAGTACAGGGTTAAGTCTCTTGCCGTGCACTTGGCCTGCCTGGTTCAATCCACATACTACATTGGTCCCCTGAGCACCACTAGGAATGACCCCTGAGCACAGAATCAGGAGTATGTCTTGAGTACTCAGGGGTATGACTCCAAAACTTAAATAAATAAAGGAACCCCCAGGTCATTCATTCATATACTCCACACATACTTCTGGAGGTCACGCACTGCCCCTGGGGAGGGTGATGTTAATTTTAAGAACAGTGATACTACACAGCAGGGAAGAAATACTCGCCCAGAGTGGTGGAGAGGCTTTCTCAGAAGCGACCCAGTGTGACTTTTAAACAGGACCAAAGTGGCTGGCAGGGCAAGAAAAGTACAGGGACGTTCGCTCGAAGAAAACTATGGGCAAAGTGCCCGGAGAGGTGGGGCTGGAACTCAGGGAGTATGTGAGGTGTGAGCCAGCTCGAAGAAGGGCCTTGGAGGCTTTCTGTACCCTAATACTATAGGGAAACAGGTGCCCTTCTGAGGTGGCGGCATGGCAGGTGATGTGAGCAGCAGTGTATTCAAGCAGTAATCACCTCCCCCACCTTCCCCCCCCCTTTTTTTTTGGGTCACACCCAGTGATGTTCAGAGGTTACTCCTGGCTCTGCACTCAGGAATTACTCCTGGCGGTACTTGGGGGATCATCCTGGATGCCAGGGATTGAACCAGGGCCGGCCACGTGCAAGGTAAACACCCGACCCACTGTACTATCGCTCCAGCCCCATCACTTCCCTTTCTTTGATTATTGTCTGGAGGCCACACTGGGCAGTGTTCAGGGTTCTGTGTCCCTGGTTCTGTGCTCAGGAGTCAGTCACGTCCAGCAGAGCCTGGGGGACAATGCCGTGCCAGGGATCGAACCCACACCTTCTGCATGCAAAGCCTGCGCTCAGCGCATCGCCTGATCTCCCCCAGCAATCACTTCTCGCCAGTAACCATTTCGAAGGCGGGCACAGACAGACGGTCGGCGCTTGCCTGGTTTTTAACGAGGCCTCTGAGGAAGATGCAACCTCCCACAGGATCGTGCCCAGCTCTGGCGACCCCGGACGTGTCTTGCTTGGATCCAAATCAAGCAGCGGCATTTCTCTGCACCTTTAAGAACGGCAGTAGCCATCCCCAGCGCACTCTGAGGTCCCACACCAGGAAGCAGGTGACATGGACAAAAAGAATAGAATCTGGCAGGTGCAGTCCTGGCTTAAATCCTGCCTGCTCTGTAGTGGCTGGGGGCTCCACACATTTTCATAACCTCTGTGCCTTCTTATAATGGGGAATTCAAAGTCTCTCCCTCTCAGTGTCACGGGGCTAAAATTCTTATGACTCAGCCTGGCACATCAGAAATGAAGAGACGGCTGAGTATTACTACCCAGCAAAGGAGAAACTTTGACCATGTGCAAACCCCGCCTAAATATCAAAGAAAGCCAAACTCCCCCGGGGAGCAAGGGCAGAGGGGAAGCCAAGCCAGCACCTACTTGCAAGCAGGAGGCAGGAGACAGCCACCGTGTACAGCTGCTTGGAGGTGCTGATGCTGTAGCGGTCCAGGAAGTGGTCCAGCAGGTAGACGGCCAGATGCCGGGCCGTGGGACAAAGCTGACAGTGGCTGCTCAGCAGGCTCAGGATGTCCACAAGGAACCGGCGGCTCTTGAGGAGCGGGGAGTGGGCGCGGAAGGTGGGCAACTTTAGTTCCTACAAGAGGAAGCGAAAAGGGGGTCACGAGCTGCCTCCTCGGGGCTTTGGTGTTCTGAGAAGGTGAAATGTGGGAAGTTGGGACACACACAGGCTTCCCTCAGATAATGTCATCTTCAGGAAACTGGAGAGTCCCGCTGGCCCTTGCAGGCCCCAGAATGGCAGGGTCCTACATGAGACATAGGCAGGTAAAAGAGGGACCAGGGATCAAAACTCAGGGCTCTGAGGGCTGGAGCGATAGGACAGCGGGTAGGGCGTCTGCCTTGCATGCGTCCGACCTGGGTTCGATCCCCAGCATCCCATGTGGTCCCCCAAGCACCGCCAAGAGTAATTCCTGAGTGCAGAGTCAGAAGTAACCCCTGTGCATAGCTGGGTGTGATTCCCCTCAAACACAAACAAACAAACAACAACAACAACAAAACTCAGGGTCCTGCATGCAAAGCATTCGCTCCATGAGTATCAAATTTTCTAAAGGAAGATTTGGGATTGTTTTTCTTCTGTTATGCCAGGAATTGAACCCAGGGCCTCATGCATGCAAGGGTAAGAGTTATATTGCTAAACCACTTCCCCAGCGCTCCAAATGCCTCAGTTCTATGAACAGCCTGTGGCACCCTACTGCTTGGTCCTCTCTCGAAGAAATTCTTCAAGGCCAGCAGGAGAGCCAGTCTGGCTCCGCAGAGAAAGAGGATATGCCACCAGTGGGATCACGGCAGAAATGTCACATTGCCTTTGCCATGCGCTACTGGGGAAAACAGAAGACTTCATTTATTTATTTTTGTTGTTTTTGGGCCACGCCTGACAATGCTCTGGGGTTCCTCCTGGGCTCTACACTCAGGAATTACTCCTGGTGGGCCTTGGGGAGACTGGGGATGGAACCAGGTTGGTTACGTGGAAGGAAAGTGCCCTGCCCGCTGCACTGTCTCCAGCCCCTTACTCCTTTTTTTGTTTTGGGGGCCACATCTGGTGATGCTTTGTGCTCAGGAACTACTCCTGGGGGACTTGGTGGACCTTAAGGGATGCCAGAGATCAAACCTGGGTCAGCCTCATGGAAGGCAGACACCCTTGCCTCTGTGCTATCACTCTAGCCCAGAGAACAGAAGACTATTATTATTTTTTTTAATTATTAGTGAAACACCATGAGGTACAGTTGTAGATGTACAATTTTTTGTGCTTGGGTTTCAATTATACAATGATCAAATACCCATCCCTCCACCAGTGCCCATTTTCCACCACCATAGATAATATCCCTCCTACCCCCATCCCCCCCATCCCACCCTGCCTCTGTGGCAGGGCAATCCCCTGTGTTCTCTCTCTCCTTTTGGGTGTTGTGGTCTGCAAAAGAGGCATTGAGTGGCAAACATGTTCAGTCCATAGTCTACTTTCGACATGCATCTCCCCTCCTGGGAGGATCCTCCAAACATCCTTTATTTGGTGCTCCCTTCTCTATCTGAACTGCCCTTTCCTCTAGGATACCCGGCTGGCCTCTAAGCTATGAAGTAATCCTCCTGGTGCTGATCTCAGCTATTCTTGGGTATTAATCTCATATTTTGTTACTTTATATCCCCCAGATGAATGCAATCTATGTCTATCCCTCTCTTTCTGACTCATTTCGCTTAGCATGATACTTTCCATGTTGTACCACTTGTATGTAAATTTCATGACTTCATGTTTTCTAACAGCTACATAGTACTCCATTGTGTAGATGTACCAAAGTGTCTTTAACCAGTCATCTAGAACAGAAGATTTTTAAACGTATTCCTCAATCATTCATTTAGAGCATCTGTTACCTTCCCATCTTCACTTCTTTAAGAAAAAAAGCTCAATTTCTGCCTGCATTTCATATCTTATTTGGTATCTGGTGAACTTACTATGGAAATTCAAGGAGCTCATGGCCACACTGGGTGCATGAGCTCCGGGAAGACAGGACCTGGGTCTGCTTTTGCTCGTTGTACTGTCTGCCCCCACTGACCTAGTCTGTCTAGAATGTCAGGAGTCCAGCCACTGACTGTGGAAGTGATGAGGAGGGGTGCAGAGGACTGCAGTGCGGTGTGAGTGTACTGCGTTCCCGGGTCCTGCCTACAGGGGAGGATGGGGCACTCTGGGTAGAGAAGCAAGTCAGTGGGGGCTGTGAGGTCAGAGTTTGGAAGGAAATCTAGAACTTGAGCAGATGCAGATGCCGGAAGGAAAGAATGTTCAGCCCCCAAAACCAGCACCTGCAAAGCCACACAGAGCACCCCATCTGAGGACTCTGGAGCACCTGAACGACAGACTGGTCAGGTATGGACAGAGCAGGCTGGCAGAGCGGGCAAGGTCCCAGTTTAGATGCCCTGCTGAGATGTCTGCCCCGCCCTGAGGGCCCTGGGGAGCTGCCAAGGGGATCTGAGCGAGGCACCCACCTGGGCCGAGTGGCCACGTGAACACCCGCAGCTGCAGCCAGAGTGCTGGTGGCGGCAGCTTCCCCGGCAGTGGCCGCTGCCCCCTGCTTACAGAAACCAGGTTTCTCCTTCAAGCCTGTGCTCTGGCTCCGCACAAGGAACACAGGCAGATTCCTGGTGTTCCCTTGGCAGCAGCTGCCAGAAATGCGCCAGGAGACCTTTGGCCTGGGTATTGCTGCCAGGCCGAAGTCCCCAACAAAACAAGTTGAGGCGGCGATGCCCTAAACTTCCCGCTGCTGCTTGATTCAGGCCAGCTGCACTCCTGATTCACTCCTGCGCCAACTGGGGAAGGGAGCTGAGAGCTGGGCTTTCCGGGCAGAGGCGGTTGCTTTGTGCGGTCTCCCAGACAGGGAAGGTTGCAGACGGCTGGCATGAGCAGGGATGGCTGCATGGAAGTCAAGTCCCAAGGCCCACGGGGCTTGGAAGCTCCAACAGCCACTGCCTGTCCTGCTCTTCCTTCTCATTTCTGCTTCTCCCTCACATACTGGTTTCAGTTTCTTCCCGAGAAAGGCTTTGTCTGACTCCCCCAGCCCCTCATTCCAAATCCAGCCCCTGCCTGTTCTTTTTCTAGGGCTAAATATTTATTGACTGATGTGTCTCGTCCTGCTAAACTCTAGCTTTAGAGAGCAGGGTCCATGTCCATTTTCTTAAAAAAAATTTTTCCCCCTTCAAGTTGAAGATCACACTGGGTAGAACTCAGGGGCGACTCTAGTGAAGACTCAGGGGTCCCCTCTGGGGATGTTTAGAAGACCGTGCGGTGTCAGGGATTGGCCCAGGCCTGTGCTGTGCAATGTAGCACGTGCTTAGTCCTCTGAATCACCTCCTTGGCTCTCATCCGTGGTTCTTATACCCTTTGCCCAAGGCTAGAGTGATAGTTAAGGAGCTGGTCGTGCTTGTGGCTGACCCAGCTCAAACCCCAGCTCTGCATATGGTCCCCCATGCACCACGAGGAGTAATTCCTGAGCCGAGAGCCAAGAGTAAGCCTTGAGCATTTCTGAGTACAGCCCAAGTCACCCCCATTCCCCATCCCAAAGGAAATACCCCTTGCCCAATGACAAGCCCGGCACAGAGGTAAATGCTCCAAAATATTTGTATAAATTCATTTTATTGGGGGAAGGGGGTTGGGCCACACCTGGTAGTGCTCAGGGTTTCCTCCTGGCTCTGCACTCAGGAATCACTCCTGGCGCACCTCAGGGGACCACATGGGATGTTGGGGATGAAACTCGGGTGTGCCGTATGCAAGGCAAGTGCTTTAGCCACTGTACTATCTCTCTGTTTGTTTGTTTGTTTTGCTTTGTGGGTCACACCTAGCGATGCTCAGGGGTTACTCCTGGCAGTGCTTGGGGAACCATATGGGATGCTGGGAATCGAACCCGAGTGGGCCGCATGCAAGGCAAACGCCCCACCTGCTGTGCTATTGCTCCAGCCCCTGTACTATCTCTTTGGCCCACGTATTTGTATGGATTTAAATGAGAAAAGCGTCACAAAAAAGACACAGTGGAAGCTTAAATAAACAAAAAATGCCAATCTGGAAAAGACTACACACTGATTGCAGAAAAGGCAACACTTTGGAGAGAGTGCAAAGAGCAGGGGATGCTGGGAGTTTAGGACAGCTGAGAGGAATGAACAGAGCCCAGGATTTTCAGGGTGATGGAAGCACTCGGTGTGATGTGTCTTACTGAGTGGCTCCCGAGTGGGCACTGTCATACTGAGTGTACTATAGATGCATGACATTAGACTGGTGCCCAAACCCACGACACCCTCGGGAAGCCCTAGGCTCTGTCTGGGTGACAGTGCTGTGTCACTGAAGGTTTATCTGCTGCCACCAATGAGCCTCTCTGTTGGGGCCACTGATTAATGGGGAGGTTGCACATGTGTGGAGCAGAACGTTTAGGGGAAACCTCTGCCCCTTCTGCTCAAGGCTACAAGCACAAAACTGCTCTAAACAAAACAATTAGAAATGAATATGGGCTGTAGTGTTAGATCGGTGAACGCACTAAAAAGTATAATTATTCAGGACTGTGAATACTGGTACTTTAAAAAAAAAGGTGACAAAATGAAGATGGGGCTGTTCCTTTCTTCTCTCCACACCAAGGCGGGGGTGGGGGGGTGGGGGGTGGGAGGGGGGAACAAGGTGGCCCAGACTGGGGGGGCCGGGCAGGCAGCTCTGGGGTGGAATCTCAACTCCACTATTTACTAACCTTGGGCCCACGGAATGTAAGCCTGTGTCCTCAACTGAAAACAGGGGTCACCCTGCCATAAACGTTAGGTATTTGGCACTTCACAGCACTCAGCCCCGCATTACGGCCTTTCCCAGGAGCCGGGCAATCAGACCTCAGATAAGTCGTGCTTATCTGCCCTGCCAAAGGCTCTCAGGGAATCTGCTTTGAAGGCGGAATGAAGCTTTCTACCTGAGCATTTACAGTGGGGCCTGGGGCCCTCGGCGGCGGCTGCATGGAGCCCCGCGCCCCACCCCCACTTCCTCTGCAGAGTCAAACAGAATCAGGCACTGTGAGCCTCTGCTCCATCCGGCCAGGGGGGCGACCGGCCTGCCTGCCTGTTCAC